TTTTATAACATTTTTTGTGGGACTGCTTTTTACAACCGCTGCTCTTAAGCCCCAGTGATTCCCGTACATTTTCCCTCCTAAACGTGGCGGTAGCGCCTAAACGGCTTCAGATAGAGCAAAACGGACAAAATTTTCGCCCAAAGGGCCGCAATTTGACGAGTTACCCCTTAGGAAACATTCTTAAAGGTTATAAAAAATAATTGAAATTGCAGCTTTTTGAACAAATACCCAAAATGACCCCTAAATATGAATTTAAGCAAAAATCTTTGATGTGTCCTTCGATGACATATTAAGACCAACACTTTCCCAAAGTAGAATGAAAATCGGGAATTTACACTTGGCGGGGTTCCCTTGTGAGCCCGCAGGGGATGACTCACCACTGGGGCAAGGGCCGCGTGTCCAGGCTCTCCCAGGTCGGCTGGTATCGGGTGCCGACCTTGCCGGCCACGGCGCCCATGACGAAGGCGAGCGCGACGACCGCGAGCCACCTTCTCCCCGGCATAGCAAAGACAAACTGACCGCCTCTGGGCTTGCTGTCAGCAAGTGCTGGGCTGGGCAGGGTCGGGGCCGCGCCGGCTGACCTTCTCTTTGCGCTGGCCGGGCGTCTCTGGAGAGGGGAGGAGAGAGGGAGGAGGGTGCTGCAGGACATCAGGATAGCCCGGCCCGGCCTTACGTCAACGAGCCCCAACGCGGTGACCCCGCCAGTATGCGCGCGCGTGCGCGATGCGGCAGCCGTAGGGTGAGAGTGAGAAATAAATCATTGGTCTTTTGGAAATTTGTCGTTTTTAGGCGCAGTCGTTTTTATTGTCTTATAGCAAATTGATGCTTTAATTAAAAACTGGGGATACAAAAATGCAGGCGTGTTTTTATCTCGGGGGACGAGTAACATATCCGGTGTGTGCAGCATCGTTGATTTTGCGACTCTTGCTGCTCAGGCGGGCACGTTGAAGGTCTGCGAACACAATTCGGTCAGTCTTCAGTCTGAGCGGAGGCAACAAGCCGTGGGAAAAGCATGCTGAACTTACCGGGTCAACTTTCTTGACGCAATTAATAAAGAGGCCTGTAGTTTCGCATGGTTCGGCGCCAGCTGCAAAACCGCACATTTATAATCTTTATAAACTTATTCGAGTTTCAGAAAATCACGGTTCCGTTCTGGGGACTTACCGGGTGTTCCTTCGCACTCAGTGAAGGCGTTGATGACCCTGGCAGCGGCGTCAGGCAGCATCATCTTCTTCACCTGCATCTTGAACATCTTGGAGTCCACCTTGTTGTTCTTCAGCTGCCGAGTGAGAAAAGTACAGCATTAATGTCTGCGGAAATCGATTTGAGACGTAAATCGTTCGGGTGTCGCACTTACCACCATCATCGTCTGAAGGAAGCAAGCCGTGTAGCACTGAATAAACGGGAAAAAAAAGGTTAGTGTCCACATCCACAGCGGTATTTCTGATGTGCCTGGTAAACGGAGTCGCCCAGAAAGTACGTCCGTTTTCTCGTCAGATTTATTTGGCAAATTACAGATGCTCGGGGCCTGCGGGACTCAGGGTAGGCCACCCCGCGGTGCACGCATGCACTGCAGGCAAGGTTTTGCCTATCTATTGGGCGCTAAGAGAGCTAGCACGGGCTGAAATTGGCAGTTTCCGAACGGCGAATGACGGACGTACTTTTTGTATGACCCCATATACTCACGTAAGCCTTCTCGTCCTGCACAAACTCTCCGCCTTTCATGCGTTCCAGCATGTCTGAAAGGAAGAAGGACTTTAAAAATCAGGTTTTGCAGCTCCAAGCGGAATGGTAATGCTAGTGGAAAGTACGCCGCCTACCTGCTGGTATTCCGGTCTTGGGCTGGCACACGTTGCGCAGCATTTTCAAACTCTTTTCGTACTGCTCCGGGGTCACGACCTGCAACAAGGAGTTAAGGGGGGGGGGGGTCAGAGCTCTGGTCACGAGTCCTCTCCCTGCGGGTGGAGCGGAGCGCCTGCGAGGTGCGGGGTAGGCTCGCCCGCAGCACACTGGTGCAGCACGCCGTGGCCTACCCTGCCCCTGGCGGCCGCCGCGCGAGGAGGGCGGCGCCGCGCCGACCGGTACAGTCAAGAAAGTAGCCTTCCGCTTTGAAACCACGGAAAAGCTGTCGAGTGCGTGTATGGAAACGACCCTCCGAGATGTCATGTGATGTCTCTCTGCGTTCTATGTTTGACTAGAGGGAGTTAAACGACAGAATTGAAATTTTGAGCGTGCCTTAGGGGCCATTTCTGGACTAGCAGAGCTTGGAGCCACTACTACAAAATCAGATCAGGAGGTAAAATAAAATGCGAATGGAAGCTATAATTTTGTCGAATTTTGTTGTTGTAAGTCTACTTGCTTGCGGCATTGTATAATTTTCAGTTTATCATTCCCCTGTAAAGACACTAAAAGCTCTAAAGGTCTTGAAATTAGTGCTTTTGGAAGGTTTGCCTCCTTTGTGAAGGCACTAAACCTTGAGTGCCTTTTAGAGGCAGGACTTGGCACTTTTGTTTTTCCAGTGAAGGTCCCAGGGGCGATATGCTCACCGGTGCTGGCCGGGGGTAGCACAGCGCCGTGGCCGCCAGGGCGACCAGGACGGCCAGGCACAGCAGGGCGGCGGGTCGGTGCATGGCTGCGGGGCTGGAGCGGGCTCTCGAAGACAACACCGCGCACGGCCGCGCGGGCTGCTTTATAAGCTCGCGGACGCACGCGGCCGTGTCCTCCCCGCCCGGACGGCCCGGACACTCGGTCCTCGTCGGCGGGCGGCGGCCGCGGGCGCGCGACGAGGACGGAGGCATGCCTGCCGTGCGAGGGGGCGGGCCTAAAGGCGGGCCAGGGGCCCTAATTTGGATGTGGTGATTGCAGCTCTGGTCGCATTGCAAGTTTGGTCCGTACATGTGACGAGAAAAAAGGAGGAGGGACTCTGCGTCGGTAGTCACCAATTGGGCAGGCCCACAGCGGAGCCGGCTATTATTGACGGAGACGAGTAAGTCGCGCGCGGCCGCTGGCCGCTGGCGCTGGCCGCGTGCGACGCAAAAGCAATCGGCGACTCGGGATGTCGCGGAAAAATATGGCGAGGAGGCGTCGCGGGCATTTTTGCGGAAGAACCGGGACCTCTGTCCCTCTGTGCGCCTAGCGCTGCTCGACATGTTGGTAATTGTGGTCGTTCCCTGCCGCCCGGTCCCGGATCAATCTGTCTTTGTTGTAGACCGATTCAATGGTTTCTTCTTCCTGATCTTTTCGAAAGCAATAAAATTCCTCCCGCGAAAAAATGAAAACAATGCTAAACACCGTTGATGTTGATAGTTGACAGCTCTGCTGTTCTCGGTCAACTTATTGCCCGGCGGGGATGGTCCTAGCATCGGTCTAGAGGGCGACAGGAGAGCTGCTCTCTCCGCGATCGCCTCAACAAATAATCAGAACAGGGTGAGGGGTTGTGCCCCCCCCCCCCTCTAAACAAGAATTCAAATAAAAACTCCTCTAATTGCTTTCTTCATGCGGCGGCGTTTGGTGTATATTTCGACTCGACCTGTTGTATATAAGGCAATTTCTGTAATAACTTCTTGAGGTGTGCTGCATGTACAGGCGAGAAAAATAGTATTGTATTTAATTGTATTAATAATGTACGAACGGCCGCTCTTCGGCTTTGAAAAGCCCGAGTGCATGGCCCACCCCAGCCACTATCCGATCCCTAAATCGGAACAGACCCGAATTGAATATCTGCTTCATTTCTCAGATCATCTTTTTTTGGCGCCGAAAAACAAGAGCCCTGCACCGGACGGGAATCGGACGCAGTTGGCCGTCTGATCAGTGCCTCCGAAAAATGTAAGAGCATAGGCGCAAGAGCGAGTAGCAACAGCCTGCCCTTCTGGAGGCACTGCTTCTGATGCCCGCCAGCTCAGGGCCCTTGCACAAACGATTGCGGATCGAGATTAAAACAAACGGAATGTTGGCTTCCAAGTGCAGGGACGTAGCTTGGCCCAGCTGACGGGGCGGCATAGAGCAAGCTGCCTATATTCATGGAGTTTTGTGACTCAAATTGCCTCCCTTTACGGCGGCCAACAGGGTGCGATTCCCCCCTGCCCCCGCCCCCCTCCCCAAACCCTCCTTTCCCCACGTCGATACGCGCTACGTCTACGTGGCGATGATTTCCCACAACCCATTTTACTTTATTGGTGACGGGAGGAAACGTTGGACGTCGAAACAAGAATTGTTCTTGGTCAAACGTTCGGTTAGAAGCTAGCCCGCTTCCCTTGCACGCGACAGACGGGCCGCCGCGCCCGCGCAGCTGCTTGGCGGGTTGGCCTACCTAGCGAGTAACAGGCGGCAGGCCGGTATCGTCGGCAAGCGTTGAAGCCGTTTATTGTGGGGACGCCTTATGGACAAGCGTTAACGCCATCGCCGAGCAGGTATGCAACCCACTGTACACGAATCGAATGTGATGACAAATATGAATGTGAACGTGAATGATTCAAGAACTTTTCATACCACCAATGGTATTTTTCATGAGCAGTCTTTCATCAACATAACCTCTCACGGTAAACAACTTGCCAACAAGTGAGAAGAGACATTCTGCTTTCTAGACAAACTGATATTTTTTAAAGACTGATCAAAGCAAGGTATGTTTGACACCACTTTAGAAAAAAGTCAGTTGATAATATGTTCGCATTCTATGTTACTGTGGTGATTAAATGCAGTAATACTTGAAAATCTGCTAAATCTGTAAATTGGGACACTCACCTTCTCTCATAAAGTTACAACTTTGTGAACTATTCAATTTGTTTGCCAGGTAACATCATGGTTCCTGGTACAGTTGAGGACCAACAAGCAGATGTTATTTTTGTTGTTGAGGGTACAGCCATCAATGGAGCTTATTTAAATGATCTGAAAACAAACTATATTATTCCATCTTTGCAGTAAGTATATCTTTCATTCAACTCGTGCTCTGAGCTTGCGACAATGCATTTTCCTATCTAATCATATTCCTATCTTATGACAGATATTTCAGCCAAACCAAACTAGATGATTGGGATTACATTGAGGTAATCTGTTTGTGTGCTCTAATTTGAGCTCAATTCAAAAACATTTAATTTCTTTCTGCTCATAAGTGTTCTTTTTTGTTTTGTTTTTATAGAATCAGTGTGTTATATATGGATTAGTGGTCTATCACGCAGCAGATTGTTTGCCATGCCCAAGCAGCGATTCTTATGGACCATTTTCTAGCCCTCAAAAACTCCTGAACACGCTTGAAACTATTGAGTAAGTTCTAAGACAGTTTTGAAATATCTTCCCACTTACTCTTTTCATGACGTTTGCCTGTACTTTGCTTTATGGTTGTAGAATGGTGGGTGGAAAAGGTGAAGCCCATGCCAACATAGCCGAAGGACTAGCCACTGCGCTTACATGTTTTGAAGATTTGCGATTAAAAAGAGCTGACATGGGAATGGTCCAGAAACACTGTATCCTTATTTGTAACTCGCCTCCATATCAACTTGCAGCAATGGAAATGTCTCCCTTTTGTGGGAAAACTGTTGAACAGCTTGCTTCTCTTTTTTCTGAGGTGCAGATTTTTCCTTTAACTGTATCTAAAACATGTATGACTTTCTGCACAATGAGTTGCTGAGTAACATTATTTTAAACTTTTGCAGCATGGCATTAATCTCTCCATTTTGTCGTATCGTAAAATACCAGCATTGGTTAAGCTTTATGAGATAGCAGGTGGTGACCTTCAGATTTCTCAAACCAAAAATTATGCCAAAGATCCCAAGCATCTAGTTCTTTTAAAGGGATTCAGGTAATAATCCTGTGAAAATTTTTGAGATTTAAAATTTTATTTTTCCTTGATTAGTTTTTGACATAACTATCTATTTATCTTAGTCTTCAAGAAAGACCAGTCAGTCCAAGTCCTCCAGCTGGAAGTCAGTTACCTATTCCGAGTCAGCAAGGGACACCAGTGCAAACTGGTCAAACCGGACAGGCAGGTCAGCCAAACCAACAGACACCACCACAATCTCAAGGTTCCAGCCAAGGAGTGCCGCCCTCACCAGTTTCACTGCCAGTTCCTTCAATGGCCAGCCCACTTCCAAATATTGGAAGTCCAATCACAAGTGTTGCGTCAAGTGTTGGAACTGTTGGCCAACAACAGCAGTCCATAATGACTGGTCCAAATGTATTTAGGGGCAACCAGCAAATACCTCAAGTGAGTATATCAGGTCATACAGTTTCCTGCATATGTATGTCTTGCAATATGGATGTCAAGAGTTACTTAATTTCTAAAATTTTGATTGATTGTTTTTTGAAGAGTGTTCAAGGCATGATGCAAGGGAACACACAACAGCAACAAAATCAACAATTAGCACAGCAGCAGCAGCAGCAGCAGCCTCAGCAACAGCAGTCACCGCAACAACAACAACAACAACAACAACAGGCTGCCCAACAAGGTGCTCAGGGAATGATGGGGATCATGTCTGGCCCAAGACCCCCATTTCCTCAACAGCAGCCACCGGGCTATCCCTCTATGCCTGGGGCGCAGGGTATAGGATCAGGGCGACCTCAATGGCGAACACAAGGTCCAATGCAGGGACAGGCTCGTCCTCAGTTTTTGCAGGTGGATTTTTCAATTTATTTTAGTGCCTTCAACCAAGCAATCAATTTTATCAATATTTTGATTGACAAATAACTACTGTAGTATTACATTACGTTAACTGTGGTGTTGTAGGGTCAAGGGTTTCCTGGTGCCAGTACACCTCAGCAACCAGGCTCTGCTCTCATTGCTCAGCTCACTCAACCACCATCCAGTATGGGACCTGGAGTTAATCAATCACAACTTCAGTCCCAGTTTGGTAATTAAAGCTTAAAACAATGAAACAAATGTCAATTTGTATGATTTGTATTTGATAAATTGTGTCATTATATTTTACAGGAGGACAGACTGTTGGTGCTCAGCCACAAATGCGCATCAATCAAATGCTTGGCGCACAGGGCCAGGCTCTTAATCCTGGGCAAGGTTCAGTTGTTCCTCAGGGAGCTCAAGGACCAGTACAACAGCAAGGACCCAGCCCACAACAGCAGCAGCAGCTTCAACAAGCACAGCAGGTATGATTCTTTATTATGGTACATTAATTGATTTAAAGTGTATCTAAAATTTTATCATTTTTAAAATTGAACACCTTCCCAGCAACAGCAAGCCCAACAACAAGCCCAACAACAAGCCCAACAGCAAGCCCAACAGCAAGCCCAGCAGCAAGCCCAGCAGCAAGCCCAGCAGCAAGCCCAGCAGCAAGCCCAGCAGCAAGCCCAGCAGCAAGCCCAGCAGCAAGCCCAGCAGCAAGCTCAGCAGCAAGCTCAACAGCAAGCTCAACAACAAGCTCAACAGCAAGCTCAACAGCAAGCTCAACAGCAAGCTCAACAGCAAGCTCAACAGCAAGCACAACAGCAAGCACAAGTACAACAACAATTACAGCAACAACAGGTTCAGCAGGGTCAACAACAGCAAGTGCAACCAGTCCAGCCAGCTTTGCAAGAACAAGCCAGACATTTCATCTGGAGCGGAATTTTGGAGTGGGTCTTGAAACCTAATAAGACTCCCAATCCAAATCAAACAAAAGTACCAAAACAGGTCCAATGCCAAGTATCTTCAAATTCCAAAGATCTTCCGGGACTGTAAGCCTTTTTGTTTCTTCTTTCTCTCTCTCATTGTTGGCTTATATATAACGCTCTCTAATAAATATGTGTAATATTTATCCTCTGCAGGTCTGCTGAAACATGGCCTCAGAAACTTCTTATGCAATTGATGCCCAAAACTCTTATTGGTAGTATTGGTGGGCCATATCTGAAAAACTCTAAATCTGTCACTTTTCATCCAGAACCATGTCCTGCCTTGGATAATCTTGTGCAGGTTTTGCTTTCAGGCTATGTAAGTTTGGTTTTCATTTTATGTTCACTAATTGTATTTTTCTTTTAAAACTACAGTGTACATACATATACATATATATAAATTTAATATTTTTTCTAGGCTGGGTGTGTCCATTTTACTGGTTGCAGCAACACTTGTGCAATTAAAATTCTCATCCTGCTTTATCAGGCAGAAAAAAAATTGTTTCTAGGATTCATTCCTAATGATCAAACTGGATTTGTTGATAGATTACGTAAACTTATTCAGATGCAGAAACAGGGAAATCAGAGGGTTTGTGCAAGATTTTATTTTAGTCAGAAATGGAGTGCACCAATTCCCCTCTTTTTCTACAATTAGTTTGTTTTCTTTTTTCCAGGCCCTTCAGCAAGCACAGCAACAAAACCAGCAAGCCCAGCAGGCTCAGCAAGGAATGATGATCTCTCAGACTAATCAGATGGCTATGGTAGGTGGTCAAATTACTCAGGTCGCTGCTGGTGGCCCTGGTCCTCAACTTCAGGGTTTGGGACAGCAAGCAAACTCGGGTCCTAGCCAAGGACCTTCAGGGCCAATGGGTCCAGGAATGGTTGGCTCTCAAAACCCTATGGGAATGCAGGTATGGACTACCTCTATCCAAATTCCAAAGCTTTAGTTTTGCTGGGGAAAATTGTTTTGTCTTCTGAATATTTTTATGTGGTTTTGTCTGGTGTATTCAAGTAATTATTGTTCTATTTTGTTATTAGGGAGTTGATGGTAACATGGGTATGCGTATGCAAGGCCCAGGTGCTGTTGGGCAAGGTCCTCAAGGCTCCCAAGGTGGGCCAGCAGGTAACATCATGGTTCGCAACATGTTAGGATCGATGCAAGGTTCTATACAGCGAGCCATGGGCCCTCAGGTGCCAGGACAAGATATGCAGCAACAGATTAAGCAGTTTGAGGTGACATGTTTTAAAACTCCTGATCACTTTCCTTAAATTTCAATGTCTTATGTGTGTTATTTTGATTGAAAAAAAATAATACTTGGATTATCTTTCAGCTCATGCAGAAAATGCAACAACAACAACAAAAGCAGAATGTGAACATGGACATGGGTCAACAAGTTCTTGATGTAAGTTGCTTACTCATATGCAATGCTGTTTCCTTTGCAATGCTATTCGGTTATTCCGCTTTAAAATAACTCAAACTTCCCTATCAGAATGATCAAGGAAAGTTTAGAGCTCAGCTGCAGCTCCAACAATTGCAGCAAAAGCAAATGATACCTCAAGGCATGCAGCAACAACAGCAACCCCAACAGTTTCAACAAGTTCAAATGCAAAACCCACAACGAATGGTGCGACCAAGTACTGGTAATCCGGGACTAAGAATGCTACTTCAGCAGGTATTGCATCTATTATCAATTTATTTTTTAAAGCGTCAACCATATATTTGTGAACCTATAAATTATTACTTGATGACCTTTTTAAATTTTATTTATAGCAGCAACCTTATCGGCCACAAATGATGATGCAAGGAGTAAGAAACCCACATCAGCAAACAAATCCAAACATGCAGCACCAGTTTGAAGAATTCTAGTTGTTCTCTTCTCTCTAGGTTTCATGTAGGTTTTAAAATCGATAGATGCACTGGCTTTGTATTCAGCTACTAGCGTTCCATCTGTATTTTCATTTAAATTACTTTTCACATTAGAGCCTGTTAACCCATTGATGTATTGATGTACTTGCTCATGTACAATGTTTTGTGCAGTGTTGTATCTTGCTGTGATATGATTGTATCCAAATGACTGTTATATAGTTTTTATTGGTGCTATGTTTATTTTGATTTACAATTTCACGTGCTTCCTGACTGCCTTCAGATGGTACGAATGGTATAGTATGTTCTTTATATCTGTTATCTTATAAAAACCTCATAAATTGCATAGGACCAATTACTTTAAAAACGATTGAGAAGTGTAGTTTATCCTGTGAAGTGTGTACATCATCATACCTTTTCACTTTGTACCTGATATACCAAACAACTATTATGTTTTTGACAGAGCTTTGTATAATGAAATTTATTTTGTTGTAACTTTTGCCAATTTATGGATATACCATCCAGTAATTGTTGAAATATGTTATGATGACACATATTCTATATTTGGAAAGTTATGGGTCATCTCAAGCCCAGAAATTGAACTTAAACTGAAATTATATTTTTTTAAATGATCTAAAAACAGTTGACAATAATTATAAAAATGGTTCTGACCAAGTTGTATATGTATTAATTGTTATCACCTGTTGTATTTTCTTGTCCATATTAATGTTGAATTACAAACCAAATTCACCAAAACAACAATGTAAAGTAAATAATATGGAAACAGAGTGAAAAGTGCTTTAATATTTATGATATTCCACCTGTGAACAGTGAACACTTAACAATGATTTGACATTGTTTGTTCTTGGCAGTGCTTTTGAAGTGTGGCATGTAAGGAGTCCAGAGAGAAGTTGATGTGGACCTAAATTCTGATTTTACTCTGTGTCTGTGAATGCAGGTCCCTTTTGTGATGATTGCAGGAACACGGTCCAATAGGTAGTTGCATCTGTGATTGACATCAGCTAACCAGCCATTAGCTGTCATCTGATTTATGCTGAGTTGGCGTGACAGTCCACAGCATGAGAAATGGCCCCTTTTTCTCATGATCTCAGGAATGAATCTGGTAAGTTTTGACTTTTTATTTTATATAATTCTAACAAAAAACATCAATACATATTGTAGAGTCATGTTAGGTAAAAGTTGAATTTGGTAGTATTTGTTTCTATTGGGTCTTCTTGTCATATCTGTAGTCTCTATGCTACCTCCATATACGGCTTATTAGTACTTGATCCCAAAATAGGTAGTCATGTGTTGATTGTGGTGGAGGAAAGTGGAAGAGGCAAATCATCAGAGTGTCATTTACAATAATGCTGCTGTTTATTTTATTTGTATGGTACAGTCTTAGTAAAATTGGAAGTGATGCTGGTTCTTGTCCAAAGGGATATGCCTGGACTTGATGCTTGCCACTTGTAAAATAGAATGCCATTCGATGAGTTGGCGTCACAGTGATAGATGTGGACCATATACGGGTCTACTCATAAATGATGGGACTGATGAGTTCCTCATAAAACGCCTCAAAATTTGTGAAAATGTGTTAATTGCACTACTAACCTTCTGATTTACATTTAGCAAACTTGGGCTGCATCAATAAAAGCAAAATTTGAAATGATGGGTGATGGGTTCCAGGTTTCATTGGAGGGCCACCTTAACTGTGGGAAAGGTATCTAGGAGATGTGCACAGTCTACAGTATGTGTAGAGGAATGTTGCGTACATGTAATGCCTGAGTCCAGCTCCAAATTATACATTTGAAAGACCATGGTCATTTAGAGTATAGGGGGAGAGGCATTTAAAAGTGTATTGTATGAGTAAATTTTTGAAGGCACAGTAAATGATGCCCGTTATTTAAACTTGGCTCAGCTTTGTTGAGAATGTGTTAAAAGGGTACACTTCTCCCTCCCATGCTGTATGTTACTGTGGTAGGTCTTTTTCAAATGGGTGCACTGTTTGTGTGTCATTGTATATCATATGTTTTACTCTGTATTATTCTTGTGGAACAGCAAAATGTATTACTTCTGGTTCGGGTGCGGGCTATCAATGTGCGTTGCAGCTAATTTGCAGCTGCCCTATCCACTACTGTCTTGATAATTGTGGAAAAGGTATCTGGGAGATGTGCACAGTCTTCATATGTGCCAAGTGATGTGTTACGTTCACTTAATGCTTTAGTCCAGTGCTGAATTATTAATTTATTTGAAAGACCATGGGGAGAGGCATTTAAAAGTGTGTGTTATGAGTAAATTATATGTAATTAATAAGTTGATGATTGTTTAGTAATAAATGAAAGCAAGCTTTAAAAAGATAGTGCTAATTGTACCGTTTAATATGATTGCAGGAGCACGGACCAGAAATGTTCATGACATAAGCCAAGAAGTCAATGGAGTCATTTTACCTTAAAGAATAGGTGAGTTGACTGACATGGCAGAAACCAACGCTGGTCCAATTTGTCTCTGTACAGACTTTATGAGGAGCTCTCCTTGGTGCATCAAAGGACGAATGAGAATTTGGAAAATTGCTGGAACTGGTTTGGATTGGTCCGGCAGACTCCCCTTTCACTTGCTCTGTCTAAATATTATGGTGGAATCATCAGACATAAGTTGAGTTGGCGTCACAGTGACTACCGCTGGTCCAGTCATTTAATTCTAGTGTACAGTCCGTTTGAGTAAGCTTGAATGATTTTCTCCCAGGGACCAAACTTAGTTCAGTTAAGGTACCTTCCACATGTTAGAAAATTTGTTTCTGGTTTTTAAAATTAAGTTTAAAGTAAGTAAAGTAAAGTAAGTTGTCCTGAAGAAATTTAAGAATTTAAGAATTTTAAGAAACCTTTAATGACTTGCAATAGTTTACCAGATTCCTCCTCTAATTCAACGTCAGTTTCACAATCGGGATCTTCCAGCAAGGTGAGCTCAACCAAGCCCAATCGTTTAAGTACTCACACTTAACGTTCTCTATCCAACTCCAATTATCGATGCAGTGAACCCCACTTTGCCAAACCTGCTAAAACTAAATTTCAGCTTATTTTTTTTCACTAATCTCTACTAACTGTGTATTACATTGGAGCATTGTATAATCTACACATTACCTGTGCCAGGAAGTTCCCTCAAATGTGTGATGTATGTGGTATTCACTGCATCTGACAAAATTCTGTTGAATGTTTTTTTTTTTTTTTTTTAAGCTTTTTGAAAGTTGTAGGGTGAGTGGTCAGCACTATTAGAGCAGTTAGGTAGAGTAGCTTGGTGACTGACGGAGCCTGTCTCGCAGCTCAACGGTGCTGGCCACCCACCCACATATATAACATGAACTGTTGGTCCATAGTTAAATTTCCCATCCTTAACTAACTATTCCACCTGTGCCGGGGAGTGCGGGCTTTGCTGCGCGTAGGCCAAGGATGGTCCGTTAGGCATGCCCATCCTGCTTTGCTTTGCTTTCTTCGCCTGGCTATTACGTACTCACCCTCATCCCTAATTGGTTTCGCCCAGCTTTGCCAGGTATTTTTCAGATTTGGAGTGGCTGCCCCTTCCTTACTACACGCTGCTGCGGCTACCTGACTGCATACGACCGAACCCTACTGTTCCCTCGCCTCGCCCAGGACGCCCTGCGCGGCCGCTCCCACACGCCCGGCCCGCCTCCGACTGCACAGATGAGGCGCTTCCCCTCCCTGCAGCGCTCAAGCTGCTAGTCTGGGCCCCCTCTGGGTCTGGAACGCCGGGATGAAGCCCCTAACTGGGTTAGCCCTTCCGGATAACGTTCCTGACGACCTGGAGCGGCCGCAGGCGCCCACCCCGCTCAGCTACGTCGGCGGCTTCCCCATGCTTGCACCTCCGCCAGACCAGCCAGGCGCGCTGAAGACGCCTGCCTCTGGCCCTCGGCGGACTTCCCTGCACGCTCGCCCGCTTTCGATTACGCCCTACCTGAAGCACCCCCAAGAACTGGTCCAGGCCCCCTCTGGGTCTTCTTGACATTGGACTCCCGGGATGCATGGACTCGCTTCCCTGCTTCCCTCCTTGGCCTGCTCTTCTACTCAGTACACTGCTCCTTGCTATTAATTGCTCTCTCTCCCCTGCAGCTTGTTTTGGACACCACCTCCCGTTCAAAGGGGACCCTGCTTCTGCGCTGTTTGCGAGGGCAATAGGGTCTGGGCGGTGTGCCCCCCCTCTTACAGCTGTTAGTGTCGGGGTACCCTGCTGGGGGCAAAAAATACCGATATTAAAAGCCTTAGGCTTTGGCCCCTAAGATGCTCTGCTGAATCTAATCTAATCTAAGTTTAAAGTAAT